TTATGAGTTGACTACATGAATGAACACGAGTTTGATTTTTACCCAGAAATCTGGATTATTTGAATTTCACACCAGGAGATAAGCTTTTCTCAACATTCTCAAGGACTGACACCCTTCTACCGACCATAGTGCTGAATTAAAAGCTGTTAAACTTTGTAACAAAGACCTTTTCCAGGCCCTTGGATAGTACTACCATGGGCATTAGCCACTGACTCAACACCAACCTAAAAATGGCACGTGTGTGTACACACACTCACAATTATAAAGCAACCCTTCTCCTCTACTTGTGCATCAATCCTGCTTCCACTCCCGCTGGATGGAGCCCACATCAGCACGGAGGCGGTCTGAAGTAATGTGGAGTTTTATTGTGCAAATGCAGGGAAATTAGTTTAAAGGTCAACACTAAGAATAAACTGACAAGATGGAAGAGGTTTCTGGAGGAAGGAGACTTATTAAATCCTCCAGTTGGCCTGTAGGAGCAGTTAGAGGGTGATTAAAAGGAAAATCACCGCCCCCTGCCCTAGGACAAAGCCCTTGATCGTCGCTGGGCCTGGGCACATTTTTCTTTAGCCTTTTCACTGTAAATAAAGCAAGGGTGACAGTTAAGGAACTAACCATTTTTTGGCCAATAAACAAAGCACTTTGTTCACAAACAATGGGAACATTTTTTTAAAGGTTAGGAAGCAGGGGCATTAAAGGGATTGACTTGGGAAGTAGAAGAAGGAAGGCAAGCAGAATCAAATTTAACATTTTAAAGAATTGTGGCCTGATCACCTTAACGAGCAGCTCAAGTTCATTAGTGTCATTAACCATGTCCACTTTCCTTTGGCAGCAGCCGTACTCAAATACTCACTGATGATCCTGACAAGCATGAATTTAAGCCATTCATTTATTTCTTATAGTGAATGGATGTGGGAAAATGGTACCTCTCCAGTTATTCTGTGATATGGACAGAACCAACTGGACCATTGAAACCTTCCAAAATTTTTCTGTCTTAATAGCCAGAGTATTACCATCTCCGCTGGTTAGTGTGACTGGAAAGTTACAGAACTTTGTGCCATGTCACATGGAATATGACCACTTTTATGAACTTACTTCTTTATCTTTCTTTTCTATTTATTCACTCTCAAAGATTTTGCTTGAAGTTTTTAGTTAATGTTGGAGATCAGGATCTTCAGCTCTCTGAGAGCTTCATAGTCCTGCTTGAGTCAAATTGGACAATGACTCAGGATTTCATTGAGGCAATACAGCTAAATTCACTGATTATTCTATATTAATTTTGGTGATGTTAGTATGTGAAGTTACTGCACCCGCCATAGGGGCCTTACACATAGTTAAATTATAGCTCACTCTCAAGTTCCTCTGACTCCAACTGCATAAGGGCCTGGAGATGAACAACTCTCCTTGGGTGAGGTCACTATTTTTATTTCCTGTTGGGCATCATTAGGATACATCTCACTCAGAGATGTGCTCCCCTCTACCCAGGGACAAAACTATATCAATGCAAGCTTTTAGTTTGGTAAAATAATAATAATAATAATAATAATAATAATAATAATAAGTAAAAGGCACAGGCACATGCAAAATGGAGAAGAGGTTATGGATGACAGACAGATGAAAGGCCAAAAGAATCATGGAACTTACTCTACCCTGGTCCTGGGATGGTCTTCTTTGGGCCTTTTCTCTTAAGATAATAAACACTGCATACTTTGAATTATTTGTAGTGAAAAGGAAGTGCCACTAAGAAGTGAGAGAAAAGCTGACCCCTGTATGGTCTCTAAAATAGTAGAGTTTCTCAAAGTAAGGCCACAGACCATCCCATCCAACTCATTAAGAATACTAGCCCCAAACAGACTCCTTGGCCCTACTTGAAGTTTCTGAATCAGACTTTCTGGGGCTAGGATGAAGGAACTCTCCATTTTAACAAGTGTTAAACATGACTTTAGTTTTAGAGCACACTGAGTATTGGAAAAACAACAACTGCTAAACAGTTTGCAATGGAGGTCAGCGAAAAAAGAATCCCCATTCAATGTGTACAGCGAGATGAGAAAAACAGACATTTAAAACAAGTAAGCTTTGTGGTCGCATCACAACGCTGTGATTATTAAAGTTTAAGACTCTTTTCTTTTAGCAGGGGTGGAGAGCAATAACCATTTCATCGAAACCCAGAATGATGAAAGCAATATCAATCAAACTCATTCCAGCAGGTTCCATTTGGCCTAATTTCTCTGCAGATATTAATCATTGCACAGTCCTGTGCAAATGACCTCTAACTCCATCATGACTCAGAACACAAAATGCTCATTCTGATTCTTCCTCTAGTGTGTTATTTTGACAATATAAAAGAAAATAAATAAATGGAAACAGTGGGCCATCGAGATTGCAAGATTCAACAATATCAAGACATTAAAGAGAGAAATGGTCCATGCTAAACCTATAACCCAGCATGCAAATTGGAAAAAAAAACATTTATCTGCCACAGAGTGCTGGAGGGAAGGTGGGGAGAGGAGGTAACTGCCTTCATTTTCCCTTTGAAAATTGCTATGTTAGGTGGAGGTAACTAAGAATCTCACCTGAAAGTTTACAGAAAGTCTTATTAATTCTAGTCAAGATCACCTAGAAGACCAAGGTTACTTAGAGTTCATGGCATGATATCTTCCAGGGCATGGCAGAAATACCAGCACTCAAATAGGAACCACAGAGTTGGAAAGTTGAAATTGTAGCGAAGGAAAATGTACGAGAATCCAAGTTTGGGTCCCATTATGGGAGCTGGCATCAAGCAATTTTGCAAAATGCCAGATATGCCTTTGATTTTCTCACTGGAGCATGGTTTGCTTGGCACAGACAAAGGATAATCAGAGAGGAATTTAAAACCCAGAGAAGCAAAAGTAATCCAGAAGCTCAATCAGTGGTAACTAAGAGGACCCAGAATGAACAACACACATCTGTGCCTATGGACAAAGCTGCCTCAGAATCATATCAGGCCAATCGAAAAGTGAAAAACACCATGGTGACTCCCCTTCATTCAATATGTCCCCCCAAATGAATCATTTGGGGGTAAACATAGCTGTGGAGGAATAAAGAGTGAAGGGAACACTTAGGGTTTGTACATTGCTCCCCTTTTATTTTAATTCACCATGCATGTGTTTCCAGTAAGGAAACTATGCCTACAGTTACAAAGGACAACATCACCGCACATTCTGGAAGCCACTTCACTTTGTTGTTTTATGGCCCATCTCAGCGCAATTTCTTCCTATTAGGGAGAGAGCACACAGCCTTCATGAGCTAACAGTTTCATTTTCCTGTCTTCCCCCCTTTTTTGATGAATGCAGATCACTCCCTTTTTGATGGTGGGTAAGAATACTTTATGAATGTGTCTCTGACTTCAGGAGAGACACATACTTGTAGGCAGTGGCCTCCTCAACTTCCCTGGATTTTAGAACTGCAGGATTTCCCAGGAAACAACTCAAGTTGGGGCTCCTGATTCAACTGACCCACTGGATGCTATTAGTTTCTTCATATCAGCAAGTTATCGCCCTTGTCATAACCAAGGGCGATATACAAGAAGCTTCTTGAATATTGATTATGACAAGGGCCAGAATTAAGCTAAAAGTTCTTAAAACAATTTTAAGTTCAGGTAACAGGCCTGAATCACAGTGACTACCAGGGCTACTAGAGAATTTAATCTTATAACTCACACAGAACTCATGTCCAGTGTTGCAGGCTGCATAGATATCACCTGATAACTCCACTCAAACCAGGACTGAAGATTTCCATTTACTCGGTACCTCCTTGGAGGTTTTCCCTGACCACGTCTACATCCATCTCTATACCAAGAGTCAAGCAAATGAACACATTGTTGTCTCAGTTATTTGGACTATATGGGGTGGGCATCAGTCTAGAGCTGACCCAGATGAAATGTTGTTTTCTAAAATAAATTTCCTACCATTAGTTTTGTTCACTGGGGTATAAAGAGTACTTAAGCAGAAAAAAACTTCATGACGGGTCAAGGGATAGAAATAATGCCATGAACATTTTCTTTGAAGTGTTTAACATACTATTTAAAGTATGTAGTCAAAGGAGTGGGTTGGCTATCATCATACTAGTTCTCCAGTCCTTACTCATGTGTCTCTGTCTGGATGCCATTACAGTCAGCTCTGAAATTTAAGAAAATTGGGACTTTGTCATTTTATTAAGCCCCGTTTCTCTGATAGCACTTCCAGTAGGATCACAAGAGACATTTGACCTAAGTAAGTTTGAGGTTATCTTCATTCAATTCAACTTGTTCTTGACCTATTAAGTTCTGTGATTCTTCGAAGGATCTTCTATTATTAGTAGGATGGTGTCTTGATGTGGTAAGAAATATTGAAAAGAATGAAGATATATTGGTAGGCTTTACAAAGCTATGTTGCAGTTAAGGTAGAATGTCTGCTACTATATAAATACATAAAAGAAAAGCAATTAACTTCATAAATTATAATTCTCTTGATAACTCAACTCCCCAATAAACTTTCTTTTTCACTTAAGTAAAACTTTAAACTCTATCAAATCATCACAACAAGGAAACATTGGCTGAATCTGTCACACTGGGATAAAGGCAAGAATTACAAAAGTTCAGAAAGATATCCATATACTAATGGGCACTAATAACAGGAATCAAGACAGAACCTCTTACATAATACAAAGATGCATCAGTGAAATATTTCAAAAAGAAGCAATTGGTCATTATGTTCCCTCCTATAGACACCATCCAGTTGCCTTTATTACCTGTGATGATACATATAGATACACACAAACACACAATAAAAAATTAGGAGTCCTTGGCAGAAAAATAATGATTAACAAATTATTTTTCAGTTCCCACTGAAATGCATGAGGAATGCTAAAAATAAAACCTGGATTCTTAATCTGCATTTATGATTCAGTCTATGAAAGAGCTATTGGTACAGTAATAGAATACAGAGTCACATGGCTGGGTGGCTAGTAACAGTTTCTTTTTGGCTGTGTCTACAAAGGTCAAGGATGTAATCAAGAAAGATAGTTAGAAAGCCAAAACCTCCGTTTTGGAGCTCCAGTTGTCTAGTTGGGTTGTTCAGATATGAGAAATGACAGCCAATCCTAGTATGGACACAGCCAAGTCCCAAAGGCAAACACAACTGGCTACCAGAAAGTGACAATGTATCGCTGTAGGTGTGAAAAGTTGTGAGTAATTATTAGGAGGTGTTTAGAATAAAATTCCCTCAGAAATAAAAAGTTGGACCCTGATTCAACTGTGAAGTGTGTGGTGTTCTTACTTCCATGACCACGCGGGAACGCAGAGAATTCAATGTGGATTGTGTGGAAAGGCCACACCATAAAACATGGGCAGTAAGAACTTGGAAAGCAGTGAGAGAAGGAATGCTCAGCTCAGAGTGGAGAAGGCTGAGTGTGGGGCCATTTATTAGTGATTTTTGTGGATATGAATGTTTGTTTAAAGTAAAAAAAATGTCTGACTAGCTCTCCTCACCCTCTCTGATTGCAGAGAAAGAGCAACGCGGTAAAATGGAGCCTGAGGGTGTTAATTTTGAAAAACGGGAAGACAGTTTCTTGATGAGGAGGGTTATTTGACATTAGAAAGTGTTGCCAAGAGAGGCTGGGAAATCTTCCCAGAAGGGCTTTAAGAAAATAGCAGAGGCCCTCTGTCTGAGCGAGTGCTGCGGGACCCCTGGCTGTCCAGGCCCTGGGGTCACGTGCACTGTGTGTGTACACACTGCATTGTACTCGTGTCCCACAAATCCTCATGCATGCGGAGTCAATATAAACTGGCATATAATAGATTTGAGTGAAAAGTCATATAAATCTGCCACCCCCCTTGCCCCATAAACCAACAGAAAAGGGAAATTAAGAAAAATCAAACATATGCCACTGGGCCAGATATCTTTCTACCATATTCTGGTTCACAGGAGGGAGGTAGAAGATGAGAGAAAAATCAGTTTGGGGTAAATGACTCTCAAGGCCTCTGGGCTCCTCTCAGGGAGCTGGCTATCATTGTATCTACTCAGCACATGGGACCAAGTTAACAAACTAACACATAAGAAAAAAGATTTTCTTATACTTCCCCACCTGGAAAGAAATCTACCCTGTGGATGTGCGTGTTAAGGTGAATTAGGTAAATAGGCAGTAGTACATCGATGGGCACTGTGTTCTAACAAATGTGTAGTTGTTGTTTCTCTTAGTGACTATGAATTTCCTTTAGGAGGTCAATTTCAAAATGCTCAGCGTTTGTTTCTCCTCCCACCCCCATCCTGCCCTATAGACGGTACTTCCGTAACAGTTCTGACTGCCAAGGGTGTTTCCTCTCAGGGAACCGGTCTGGGATTTTGATCTTGAGGAAATCCTGGATGCATTTCTCCAGCTCCTCCTCAATTGAGAGCTTTTCCTTAACAGCTTTTTTTTTGCTGCTCATGTTCGACTCCCTGGAGCTGGAAGTCAGAGTCCGGAGCAGGTCGCTCTTCCTCCGCATCTCCGACTGCTGGATCAGCTGCACTGGGCCCTTCTTGATGGGACGGTCCAGAGTCTGGATGTTGGTCTGGCGTGTCACAGGCCCGCAGATGACCGTCTCCTGGGGAGAGCTGCCCTCGGACTGGCTGTCACAGCTGGAGGTGGAGAGGTCGTTGCAAGACGTGCCGCTCTCCCCTTCTTTGTCACCCTTGCCGTTCTTGCAGCAGCAGTCACAATGCGAGGATGACCACCTAGAAGGCTCACCTGCAAAGAAGCACAGGACCCAAGTGATTAAAGCCCAGAGTAGCAGCATAGCCCTACACACACACACACACACACACACACACACACAGAGCCATGTGTTTAGAAGTGGTGTGGCACTCAGGATGGGCTGCAACAAGAGCACCCAGAAGCCAGGCCCATGGAGGGAAAGGTTGATAATGGCCTGCTGCGTAAGAGGAAATACAGTATCATTAATGCTCATGTCCACAGCATTGGAGTCAGGTAGCCCTGGGTAAGGCTACTCAGCTATAGCATTTACTAACCTGGGTACATTGGCAGACCCCTTAAATTCTCAAAGCTTCAGTTTCCTCATCTGTTAGATGAAGATGATTCTCCTACTATCTGGAGTTGTAGGGAGGATTTAGATAAGTCAAACGAAGTTCTGAATGAAGTATGTGGTATACAGTAAGCACTCAATAAATGCTAGTTGGTTTCACTGTGGCTGATGTTAAACCCTAATCCGAAGCTGTACATGAGAGCAGTCGATGAGTGGAATGACAGCTGTCAGTAAGGAAGGACTTCCTCTGTGCCAGCCCCCACATAGGCTCTGTGCACTCATCAACTCATCAGATCCTTATGATAACTCTATAAACGTAGTAGCTCCATACAGGGAAACTAAGACCCTGGGGGTTTAAGCAACTTCCCATAGTTTGCACAACTTGTAGGTGGCAGGGCTAGTATTCAAATACAGATCTCCCAAACACCATATTGCAAGTAACTAGCCTTTTTTCTTTAATTTGCCTGTCTGTAAAATACCTGCTTCTCCTTCCAAACAATGTTCAAGGTTTAACCTCACACGGAAGTCCTTGTTTACCTCTCCCCAGAAGTATTTGTCAATGTTTCCTCTAAATTATGGTTTATATTTTGTGTCTCTATTATTGCCCGTAACACATTCATTAGAATTATTTTTTACTTTCTGCATCTAGGCTCCTATATCATGAGCACTCTTAGGTGGGTACAGTGAAGTGTCCATTGTTGTAATCCTAAGGAATTCAATAAAAGACTGTCTCTACATAGTAATTTTAAAGTGCCTGGATGTAGCCATACCTGAAGCTAATCCTATCTGGAATTTTCATTTAAGCCAGTGTGAGTCCTCCTCTCCCTATTCCCCTGAGTCTTGACTCTCGGCACTGAGTCTGGAGATGTGGAGGCAGAGCCATTTTTCAGATACACAGTTGGTGGTTCCCTGAACTAGATTATGGCTCAAAGCAATTTCCTAAATTTATCAGTAACTGCCCCAGCCTCACACTCAAAACAGCCAGTCTTCTTGGAGTCACGAACCCGAGACTATTGCTGATCATACAGTATGCTCTGGGCACTTCCTATAGTTCATTGCACTTACGCCATAAAAAACAAAGGGCAACAGAGACCCTTTATGATACTAATATTGGGGACAAGGATAATGTGGCAACTGTATGTGTTTTATAGGAGACCTACTTTAATGTGCACTGTGTCCTCTTCTCATATATAATGGGCTACTCTGTAATAAGATTCCACTTCATTGCCATTTTCAAATATGGTCAAAGTAGAGGAAACCTAGAATGGAAATGATAAGGAAAGCTCTGTCCTGTCTTCTAGGATAATGCCTCTCCTCTACATACCTAAATAATTTAAGTATTTATAGCAACGCCTATTGATTCCATTTTCCAGAGGGAGTAAAACAAAGAAGTCCCATAATCACAACTCCAAGAGTCTCTAATGTGAACTCGCTCTTTCAAACCACTTTTTAAAATGTGACTGAGGAATCGTTGTACTTACTAGTATATACCCATTAAATGAACTGCAACAATCCAATTAAGCATAAGGAATGGCAGCAGCACAAATGTCCTAGTTGTCCTGGGCTATTACAAATAAATGCCTTCCGTGCAGCAGAACATCCCACATGTACCCGCTGGCGACATGGGAAATGGCTGCTGTCTGCCAGCCGGGATTCTGGGGTCGTCTCTCCCCTCAGAGAGCGAGTCTGTCTCTGCCTCTGCCTCTCCAAACCTGGGCATCCCACACTGACATCACTCGATGGAGAAATGGCTCCAATGATTTGGGTCAAGAACAAGTAATCACATCAATCCAGAGTTGATCTACTTTGATCCCTTTTGAGAAAAGTTCAGAAAGTGAACTTAACCTTAAAAGATAAGAAGAAAGAACGAAAGAAAGAAGGAAGGAAGGAAGGAAGGAAGGAAGGAAGGAAGGAAGGAAGGAAGGAAGGAAGGACGGAAGGAAGAAGGAAAGGAAGAAAGGAAGAAAGAGAGAAGAGGAAGAAAGGCAAGACATAAAGGAACAGAAATATATGCTGTGATATGCCCGCCTATTATGTTAGA